GACCACCGTGACTAGCGACCAGCCTGGTACTACAGACCACCGTGACTAGCGACCAGCCTGGTACTACAGACCACCGTGACTAGCGACCAGCCTGGTACTACAGACCACCGTGACTAGCGACCAGCCTGGTACTACAGACCACCGTGACTAGCGACCAGCCTGGTACTACAGACCACCGTGACTAGCGACCAGCCTGGTACTACAGACCACCGTGACTAGCCACCAGCCTGGTACTACAGACCACCGTGACTAGCCACCAGCCTGGTACTACAGACCACCGTGACTAGCGACCAGCCTGGTACTACAGACCACCGTGACTAGCGACCAGCCTGGTACTACAGACCACCGTGACTAGTGACCAGCCTGGTACTACAGACCACCGTGACTAGCGACCAGCCTGGTACTACAGACCACCGTGACTAGCGACCAGCCTGGTACTACAGACCACCGTGACTAGCGACCAGCCTGGTACTACAGACCACCGTGACTAGCGACCAGCCTGGTACTACAGACCACCGTGACTAGCCACCAGCCTGGTACTACAGACCACCGTGACTAGCGACCAGCCTGGTACTACAGACCACCGTGACTAGCCACCAGCCTGGTACTACAGACCACCGTGACTAGCGACCAGCCTGGTACTACAGACCACCGTGACTAGCGACCAGCCTGGTACTACAGACCACCGTGACTAGCGACCAGCCTGGTACTACAGACCACCGTGACTAGCCACCAGCCTGGTACTACAGACCACCGTGACTAGCGACCAGCCTGGTACTACAGACCACCGTGACTAGCCACCAGCCTGGTACTACAGACCACTGTGACTAGCGACCAGCCTGGTACTACAGACCACCGTGACTAGCGACCAGCCTGGTACTACAGACCACCGTGACTAGCGACCAGCCTGGTACTACAGACCACCGTGACTAGCCACCAGCCTGGTACTACAGACCACCGTGACTAGCCACCAGCCTGGTACTACAGACCACCGTGACTAGCGACCAGCCTGGTACTACAGACCATGGTGACTAGCCACCAGCCTGGTACTACAGACCACCGTGACTAGCCACCAGCCTGGTACTACAGACCACCGTGACTAGCCACCAGCCTGGTACTACAGACCACCGTGACTAGCCACCAGCCTGGTACTACAGACCACCGTGACTAGCCACCAGCCTGGTACTACAGACCACAGTGACTAGCCACCAGCCTGGTACTACAGACCACCGTGACTACCCACCAGCCTGGTACTACAGACCACCTTGACTAGCCACCAGCCTGGTACTACAGACCACCGTGACTAGCCACCAGCCTGGTACTACAGACCACTGTGACTAGCCACCAGCCTGGTACTACAGACCACCGTGACTAGCCACCAGCCTGGTACTACAGACCACCGTGACTAGCCACCAGCCTGGTACTACAGACCACCGTGACTAGCCACCAGCCTGGTACTACAGACCACCGTGACTAGCCACCAGCCTGGTACTACAGACCACCGTGACTAGCCACCAGCCTGGTACTACAGACCACCTTGACTAGCCACCAGCCTGGTACTACAGACCACCATGACTAGCCACCAGCCTGGTACTACAGACCACCGTGACTAGCCACCAGCCTGGTACTACAGACCACCGTGACTAGCCACCAGCCTGGTACTACAGACCACCGTGACTAGCCACCAGCCTGGTACTACAGACCACCGTGACTAGCCACCAGCCTGGTACTACAGACCACCGTGACTAGCCACCAGCCTGGTACTACAGACCACCGTGACTAGCCACCAGCCTGGTACTACAGACCACCGTGACTAGCCACCAGCCTGGTACTACAGACCACCGTGACTAGCCACCAGCCTGGTACTACAGACCACCGTGACTAGCCACCAGCCTGGTACTACAGACCACCGTGACTAGCCACCAGCCTGGTACTACAGACCACCCTGACTAGCCACCAGCCTGGTGCTACAGACCACCGTGACTAGCCACCAGCCTGGTGCTACAGACCACCGTGACTAGCCACCAGCCTGGTACTACAGACCACCGTGACTAGCGACCAGCCTGGTACTACAGACCACCGTGACTAGCGACCAGCCTGGTACTACAGACCACCGTGACTAGCGACCAGCCTGGTACTACAGACCACCGTGACTAGCGACCAGCCTGGTACTACAGACCACCGTGACTAGCGACCAGCCTGGTACTACAGACCACCGTGACTAGCGACCAGCCTGGTACTAAAGACCACCGTGACTAGAGACCAGCCTGGTACTATAGTAAAACCTGTAACTAAAGACCACCGTGACTAGCGACCAGCCTGGTACTACAGACCACCGTGACTAGCGACCAGCCTGGTACTACAGACCACCGTGACTAGCGACCAGCCTGGTACTAAAGACCACCGTGACTAGAGACCAGCCTGGTACTATAGTAAAACCTGTAACTAAAGACCACCGTGACTAGAGACCAGCCTGGGACTGCAGTAAAACCTGTAACTAAAGACCACCGTGACTAGAGACCAGCCTGGTACTACAGTAAAACCTGTAACTAAAGACCACGGTGACTAGCGACCAGCCTGGTACTACTGACCACTTCGCCAGGCACGGACGGTCTCACATTCACATAATTATGGTTGTGCGGTACGAGCCTCTACCTAAGGACCACCTGCCACTAAAGAACGCTTTCTTTGGCCCCAAGGGGTGGTCGTTAGTCACAAGTTTTACTGTTATAGTAGAGTGCGGCGGCAGTGCTGGTGGTGGTGCCAGCACTGCTCTACAGTTACAGGCGATCGGGTGCTGTGCTGGTGATGGCGCCAACGCACGCGCACGTGTGTGTGTGTGTGTGTGTGTGTGTGTGTGTGTGTGTGTGTGCGAGTGTGTGTGGTGCAGCCTGGCCGATTGACCGCCGTGAGTGGAGGCTGACCTGTAGCATCCTGATCCGTCCATCTCGTACTCCTGTGTCAGATGTTTGGTTGCCATGGCAGCTGGCCGAGAGTCTCGGCGTCCTCAGCACCTTACTCGCCATTTGAACATACCTAATAGGTTCTATGCTCTTCGTGGCGGGAACACTGTCGGTCCTTTTAAAGGGGAAGTCCGGTGAAAAATTTAAATTTCACAGTCCGTAGAGTTCGAGTCGCTGAGTCGAATGGTCTTTGTCCGAGGAGGCTGCGGCTTATGGTTCGTCAGATATGCCCAATCGAACATGTGCGAATTTGAGCGCGCATCACCCAGATCCAGGTGATGACGTCACAGCGTGCAGCCAGGTAGCCACACCATCTAGTTGTGTACAAAAATGGCCATATTCGGAGCACGTTCGATTGGGGAACTGTTTGTCGCAGCTTCTTCGGACCAAGACCATTCGATTCAGTGTTACAAACACTACATACCCTGTGATTTTCAGCTCGGTAAACCTCGAGGTTATACCGTATTTTAGCCGTTTCCGAGTTGGACTTTTTCCGTCAGCCTCTACGCGCTGTGCGCTGCGTGCATGCAGTGCGTGCAGTGTGTTATCTAGCTGTGGTGCAGTCAACAAACTCATCACAGACGGAACTAGTCCCGCACTGCCGTGCTGGGGTCTACAACAAGACTCGAGTCACAACTGACACAAGACTCAGAAAACTAGTCAACACACGGACTTGTCATGTACTACACTCGTATCAGTCGTATTGTACAGTCATGTAGTCAGAGAACGTGCGTTTCTCCTTGCCGGTGCAGGTGATTGTGCTTTGAGAAAGAAAATTTTAGTTTTCCGCTCCCGCCTCATTATTTTATGCTACAGCGATGAGTGCACAACCGTGACAAGTGACAAAACAGGGAACAGCTCCCGGACCTAGAACTGTCAGATTCCATAGCGTTGCGAGCGAAGAGTCGTGCCCGTGGTTCAAAGAGCCTGCACTGTTCTCCAAATGAGTAGTCCGAAATATTCCAAGTTCGCACCAAAACATCACCATGTGGCAGGCCACTGGAGTCTAAGCGAATCGGTATGGAACAACATTTAGAACACTCGCATCACTCTTCTCCATTTTCGCGACCCTGCTCTCCAGCGATCTGATAATTCATCAGCCTCGTCTGCTAGCTGCTGCTTCTTCATCAGTCGGAAACTCAGTAACGCTCACTCTTGACGGGCCCGCGCGGCCATTTCTTCAGCTGAATACCGAGGTTCTCAGCCCCAGACCGAACTCATGAAGGTCAGCCATGGCTGCATCCTCACTCTCACAAGGAGTTACACTTACAGGTCTTCGGGGTCGCTTGCACCACCTAATATCAGTCGCCAAATCATTTGAAAATAGCACTGACACTATTGCCTTCACGCACTCCTTTTGACCTAGCTGCACGCTATGACGTTGCAGAGGGTGTGGCGCGGCCGCATGACGTCATGGCGCAGCCCCCGAAACTCAGTTTTTCAAACGGAAATATCTCGAGAACGCTTTGTCGGAGACACGTGGGACCAACACCATTCGACTCAGCGCCCAAAACTCTACCAACCCTGAAATTTAAATTTTTCACCGGACTTCCCCTTTAATGAGCATGCGGCATGTGATCATCTGTGGATGGGTTGCAGTATTGCACATTAAAACCTGTGTAAGACGACCGCTCGAAGGACCTTTAAGATGAGGTCTCTTTTACCATGTGGCCTCCTCCAACATCCAGGGTCGTATGACTGGAAATAGCATCCCTTAGTCTGGTTGCAGTGGTCTTCTGGGACAGATGGTCGCCAGGACAGGTTTTCCTGTATTGCACTGTATTTTGCGTATGCAGCTTTACATGCATATTTGTAATAAATAATTATTATTAGTGGAGATTATGAAGATGACAAGGCTACAATGCAGCTTCAAAGTTCTAAAAAAAAAAGATTATGTCTGATGGAAATAAGTAATACGATCCGTGTCCGTCAATGCACACGAATCATGTTGCCTATCTCAATTACACTTAATTTCGGTGTGCACTTTTTGATAACTATTTCTGTGTGCTTATCTCACTATGCTTGCAATGTGCTCAGAGTGAAAGGGGTATGCGCCCGCGAGTATGAGGATTGGTACTGGTGCAATGCGTCTGGCTCGTATAAGTCCAAGTACGCCTGCTACGGCAAGACCAAAGCGCTCCTCTACTGCCAAAAGCGGGCCGAGGTGAGACGAAAGAGACTGGCTCTCAGCTGTGGGCAATGTCCATTACAGCTGTGTGTGTGTGTGTGTGGTGTGTGTCACTGTGTGCCGGTGTATGTGTGTGCGTGTATGTGCGTATGCATGTGTGTGTGTGTGTGTGTGTGTGTGTGTGTGTGTGTGTGTGTGTGTGTGTGTCTGAGGTGCCGGTGTCTTTGTGTGATATGTACGGGCAGTATTTTGTGCTTTCAAGCGCCATTTAAAAAACCTGTTCTTTATTATACAGTGGTCCCTTTATAACTATAACCTGGCACAATTTGTGCGACTGACATTCCGCTGGATTAGGTCGGAGCGTGCTGGATTAGAAGAAATGATTCGAAAATTGAGTACGCAGGGGTAACACACGTTCACAGGCGCGTGCCATCAGAATAAGGGGGAGTTGGGGGGGGGGGGGCATTTGCCCTCCCCCCTGAAATGATTTCTTGTAGAGCCCAAGGACGCTCTGGTAAATATGCACGTCCAATGGTTGTCCCTGTACCGTTCTGGAATACTGTAAAACATGTTATTTTCGGTGTAGCTTTAATTTTGGTGATTTCGGTAGAGAAACCAGGCACCTAAATTTAGAAAAAGGCGATAGAGTATGCACTGTATGTGAAGGGAATGCTGGTCACCTAATTCTACACTACACCTGAAACCTGGCAGGTCCCTGACACCGAAATTTTAATACACCTAAATTTACATGTTTTACAGTACCTTGTGATGCGCCTGGCCTATGCTGACCTATGCTGACCTATGCTGGCCTATGCTGGCCTATGCTGGCCTATGCTGGCCTATGCTGACCTATGCTGACCTATGCTGACCTATGCTGGCCTATGCTGGCCTATGCTGGGCTATGCTGACCTATGCTGGCCTATGCTGGGCTATGCTGGCCTATGCTAGGCTATGCTGACCTATGCTGGCCTATGCTGGCCTATGCTGGCCTATGCTGACCTATGCTGACCTATGCTGGCCTATGCTGGCCTATGCTGGCCTATGCTGGCCTATGCTGACCTATGCTGACCTATGCTGGCCTATGCTGGCCTATGCTGGCCTATGCTGGCCTATGCTGGGCTATGCTGACCTATGCTGGCCTATGCTGGGCTATGCTGGCCTATGCTGGCCTATGCTGACCTATGCTGGCCTATGCTGGCCTATGCTGGCCTATGCTGGGCTATGCTGGCCTATGCTGGCCTATGCTGGCCTATGCTGGCCTATGCTGGGCTATGCTGACCTATGCTGGCCTATGCTGGCCTATGCTGGCCTATGCTGACCTATGCTGACCTATGCTGGCCTATGCTGGCCTATGCTGGCCTATGCTGACCTATGCTGACCTATGCTGGCCTATGCTGGCCTATGCTGGCCTATGCTGGGCTATGCTGACCTATGCTGGCCTATGCTGGGCTATGCTTGCCTATGCTGGCCTATGCTGACCTATGCTGGCCTATGCTGTCCTATGCTGGCCTATGCTGGCCTATGCTGACCTGCGCTGGCCTATGCTGACCTATGCTGGGCTATGCTGGGCTATGCTGGCCTATGCTGGCCTATGCTGGCCTATGCTGGCCTATGCTGGCTTATGCTGGCCTATGCTGGCCTATGCTGGGCTATGCTGGCCTATGCTGACCTATGCTGACCTGCGCTGGCCTATGCTGGCCTATGCTGGCCTATGCTGACCTGCGCTGGCCTATGCTGGCCTATGCTGGCCTATGCTGGCCTATGCTGACCTGCGCTGGCCTATGCTGGCCTATGCTGGCCTATGCTGGCCTATGCTGGCCTATGCTGGCCTATGCTGGCCTATGCTGGCCTATGCTGGCCTATGCTGACCTGCGCTGGCCTATGCTGGCCTATGCTGGGCTATGCCGGCCTGTGCTGGCCTGTGCTGGCCTATGCCGGCCTGTGCTGGCCTATGCTGGCCTACGCTGTTATGATGAAATCAAGCATGCATTTTAAAGCTGCAGTCAAACCTACAAGCTCCACTCATTCAGAATGAGAGAATATGAAGAGTATTGCCCCGGTTTATCTAGAGTTCTGGACGGATTTCAGTGTCCGCTACACTACGTTCGCATGCACATACGAGCGTATGCACGTACATGTGTGTGTGTGTGGTGTGTGTGTGTGTGTGTGTGTGTGTGTGTGTGTGTGTGTGTGTGTGTGTGTGTGTGTGTGTGTGTGTGTGTGTGTGTGTGTGTGTGTGTGTGTGCGGCTGTGTGTGTATGTTCTGTTGCACAGGAGCTGCTGCTGGGCAAGTATGAGGAGATGATGAAACTGAAGGGCATCAACGCCAAGGAAGCCGAGATTGAGCAGCGACTGGACCTGGCCAGGGCGGAGCGTGAGGCCCAGGCGGCACACATCGAACAGCTTCGGCAGACGGCACGTCGAGAACTCGACAGCAAGAGAGCGGCAGAAAAGAGCACATGAAGCTGCGAAGAGTGCTGTATATCCAAGCCAGTGCAGTATCTGTGTCACTTACAAGCCCTTGTAGGTGCGGTGAGGAGACGACTCGAGTACACAATACCGCCGGCAAAAGTGTGAGCGATCTCGTCTTGACACGACCAGTACAGATCAGACTTCAAGCTATGGCTGTGTTAGCGAGTAACCGGCGCAATGCTGTGCTGAGGAACACCCGTGCCACTCTGATTTGGCCTGTTTGACTACCGGCTGGACATGTAGCCCGCCGCCGACTAGATTCCTGTGCTCATGCTTTGGGTCTGCGCGTGTTACCATGGTTACTGCGTGAGGCGCACCAACGACGGATGTGCCCGTCATGACCCGGCTTGCGCTGACGTTTTGTGTACATGCAGGCAAGAACCCGTACCGACTGAGACGGCACCTACGGCTTTTCTAGTGTGCTCTGGTCAGGGCTCTGGCCTCGCCTCAGTTAATGGACACTTGAAGTACTCAAAACACTACAGTTATTCCCATCATTTATCATCCATGCGTGTTTCTATCTCGTGTTAACGTATTAATACGCCCCTCGCACAATTCTTACTTTCTCGAAGTAATATAGACTGTGAGAAGTGCATGTGCGTGGAGGTGAAGACACAAGAACCAGAACCACCACACACAAGTAAAAGATGTTTCACTTTAAAAAAAAACCGGTCACTGGACTCACTTTGCCAGTAAAGACAATGAGAAAAGGGGGAGGGAGACGTAAACTACCGCGCACCGGTATGTATCTACGCTGTATTATAAGCTGCAAGTACAGTATCATAGTAGAATATTTGTTGAGAAACAACAGTTACTTCAAACAAGCTATGGCTATCTTGTCACTGCACTCAGATAGCTGGTTACAGTAACAGTGAAGTGGAGAGTACTGATTCAAAGTTGGAATGGCTAGCTAGCAAAAATCAATGCAATGGCCAGAAAGGGGTACCAGAAACAAACCCCGGATGGAAATAGAGTATTTTCTGGCCAACAGTGCATGCAGACATGGTGCTCTAGTAATGAGGTTTTAAACACAGGTTGGTGTGCCAGCAGCCTGCATGCAGCGGAGACCTAACAAGGCATAACCTACTGGTGGCACCCAAGGCCTTGTTTTGTGCACTTCAGTAGGTGACGGTATGTGTTGTTGCTCTAGCGCCGAAAGTCGCTCTTCCACTTGAGTCTATCCTGTTCGGGTCCTTTTCATTTTGGGGGGGGGGGGGGGTTGTCGTCTTGCGAACAACGCCCTTTTCAGTGGAGCTACAGCGTGAATAGTTTGTGTGTGGAACATGGCTGGAGGAGGTGCCATTTGCACCGTTATCACATCATGAGAAAGCGACGTGCATGTTCACAAAGATCAACGGTTCCCGGCGTGACTGGCAGTCCTGCAGTCCAAGATCGGGCGGGCGGGGGGTTGCGGTAACTGTCCAAAGTGAGATCCTCAGACTTCCATGTACTGTGTCAACAAAGAGGAGCACAGAACACACATCTTATGGAAGCGTGCATGCAGGCGCACACCGCGTACGTAGTGTATAGTGTTTGCTGCAGCATTGTCTCTCCGCATTGTCTCTCTCTCATCTGTCTCTCTCGGATATCTCTCTCTTCTGTATTAAAATACGCATGCTCAATGTGTAGGAATCAGTCCTTGTCTTGTCCCGGAATGGACTCCCGTGTGGATTAATTTGCAGACCAAACACAAAAGCGCAGATGTCTACATGTGCAAAACAAACATATTATACTCGTAGCTTGAAGCAAAAACGTTAGGAGCTGCATCTGCCACCCTGGTATCACAGGCATGGTGGGGTGGCCTGGCACACGCGAAACTTCCAAAGCTGGTTGTGTTCTTCAATACAATTGTATAGCCGGTGGTAACGCGGACGTGCAAACTTTACTCTTTTTTTTAAAGCAAAAACAACACACCTGTAGTTGTTTGGTTGAATGCACACATCATTAGTAGTAGACTATCTCCATGCTTGTCTCTACAGCTTACTTCAGCATTGAGAAGCCGATCCAGAGTGTCGGCAATGGAGTGGAAGTCTGGCCGGTCTAACGGAGCTTGGCTCCAGCATTCCTTCATCAGGGAGTAGCTGTGATCAACAAACAACAATAAAAACGCTTTTCAAGAACTTTGAAGCTCCATTGTAGCATTGTCATCTTTTTAGTTCACCTCCAATCCGCAACACACGAACAGATCTTGATCCCTGATGATGCCCTCCTCCTTCTGGGTGAAACTTTGAAACAATAGCTGTACGTGGTGTAGCCAAGGGCTGTTTGTGTGTTGCGGATCGGAGGTGAAGTGGAACAACAACAACAACAACCACCACAACATGTCTCTCCCTAACAGAAAGACACTCAACCCCAAAGTTACGAGCACACAAATACTGCAGTCCGCAATGTACATTATTGTATGGATACGAGAAGAGAGCAAACACAGTGGCCATTACATACACAATAATATACATCACATGACAAATAACACATCTCACATCACATGACAAATAACACATCTCACATCACATGACAAATAACACATCGCACATCACATGACAAATAACACATCTCACATCACATAACAAAATAACACATCTCACATCACAGAACAAAATAACACATCGCACATCACAGGACAAAATAACGCATCTCACATCACAGGACAAAATAACACACAGCACATCACAGGACAAAATAACACACCGCACATCACATGACAAATAACACATCGTACATCACATGACAAATAACACATCTCATATCACATGACAAACAGCACATCTCACATCACAGGACAAATAGCACATCTCACATCACACTGTGACAAACAGCACTTCTCACATCACAGCTTCACCTCCAGTACTCACACATAGTGTGACATTAGCTTGGGTTGTTCGAGACGGCCACCGGAAGAGAGGAAACCGGGGAGCGAATCCTTGTCAACGCCAAACGTGTCGTATGGCAAATTGCCTGTGCAGCGGCATCATAATTACACCAGACATATATAATTATGCGTACTTTGGATAGTGCGTGTCAAAAGTCCAGACCCCAAGGCTTTCCGAATAATTCAAAAATAATTTGGTTTGCGCTTTCCGCGAAATGTTTTTGGGATATTATTATTATTATTATTATTATAGACAACACCTCATGGCATGAGAAGAAAATCAGCCAGTACGGGAGATGTGGGTGTTAACCAACCATGGTGAATAAAAGAAGAAAAGTAATGGTCAAGACGGAGAAGCATGGGAGGGACAGGCGATGGTGAATCTAGTGAGCAGATTTAAATGCGTCCAGGGTACTGGCATTGCGCGTAGTAGCGGGCAGCGCAAGCCAAGCAGAGTAAGCAACAAAGAGTGGAGAGCGTACAAGGGAGGACGTTTTAGCCAAGGGGAGGGCAACAGAGCATCTTGTCTGGGAGCCATCTGTGATTCGGAACCAGTTATACACGTATTGCTCAGGCAATTCCCCAATTTTTCTCATATTGATTTCTTAGGAGTTGATGACAAACGCCCAATTTCGGGAAATCTATGCACAAAGTGATGACAGATTTTATGTGGTATAGATGCTGACCTAACAGCTTAAAAAGACCCAGAGGTGTCACTTTTGAAAGGCAATAATTATAGTAACGCGTTGAAAACCAGGCAGTCCCCGGTTGAAAATAATCTCCACATCCGGTCAAGTATCCCGATTGGCCGGACCTGCTGCTACAGTCTTGAAGCATGTGTCGATGCCGCAGCTACTCTGACACGGCAACCGCCTGTCCCAGGAGACCACTAATATCAGCACAGCTGGAACTGCAGTTTTCAATTGGTCCGGTCGTACCATAGTCTTTCATACAGTTTGTGTATAATATGGCGGTTTGTGTATAATATGGCGGTTTGTGTATAATATGGCGGTTTGTGTATAATATGGCGGCGGGTACACTTGTCCTCCTCAGCAATAAACAGGTGTTGGTAGCTACACTGTTGGTCCGGTGATAACCTGACCAACCGGACCGGTTCCGGCGGGCCTGACTATACTTAGGAGCAGAGGACGGTTTGTGACTTTTGTGTATTTCCAGTCCTTAATGACCCTGGGTAAGGAGACCACCTGTACCCGGTGACCACATTTTGTAAGGCCCGTTGAGCGGTAAATCAGCTTAAAGTGTCTGAAGTCCTTGCTGCAAATAGTGCACAATACCTTAGCAAGGGCAGAGCGTACTACACAAGGCACAACAACAGAGACCAAAAAAAGATTTCTCGTTACTCCGAGTTTCGTGTTCAAAACGCTCAGCAGACGAGTGTAGCGAGAAAGCTTTTATTCAAGTCATGCTTCTGGCCTTCTGTACAGGTAATTTGAACCAGGGAGTACAGTACTGCAGTCTGGCACATTCGAGCTCTCCGCCTTCTCCGTGAAATAATATTAAAAAAAGGTTCTGCGTTCCGGCTCTCCGCCTTCTCCGCGAACATAAGAAAACTAGAGGAAAACAAACAAACACAAGAAGCAAGAATGACATGAAAAGCAAAAGATATGAGAACATGGTATAAATGAGCACGGCAATCGACCTCAACAGGGGATAGCCGCCTCGGCAACAACAAGACCAGCTGAGTCCCCGGCAAAGACCGGTGCATAGAGGCGCCTAGCACCCCTCAGGCACATCACACTGGATCGGACCAAGGCAAAGCTGATCTGACGCCGGATTGAAGCCATCACGGCACTGTAGGCCTCTCCGGTCTTGTCGGCGATGAGAGACGCTATCCTCTTGTACAGAGAGGTGGCAGATTTCCCCATGCCTCTCGTAGTGGAGAACACGGCGGGAACAAAGCTGGTGTGTTCCACTTCCCGGATTCGCTACTCATAGGCACGGCGCTTGGCTTTTTTTGTGACGGGTGTAGCTAGCAGCAAATGAGTTGAGGCGATTCGAGGACGCAAAAGGGTTAAACACCCGGACATCAATGTAGGTGCGCTCGAACCGCCCCCGCGAGAAAGCTTTAGGTCTCTGTTGCTCTGCCTTATGTAAAGTGTACATTCATTATATTATTATGATAGTGCAGATGCACTGGGCATTCAGTGTTACATGAAGCACACACTAGTGTAGATCTTTGGTTCCACTCGTATGCGTTCTTAATGTTGGTGACTAGCCTGCTTGTTCTTCGGTGCCTGATGGTGCTGCAGCTGAATCTCTAGAGAACGTTGGTGGATTTACACGTATGTGGGTGAAGAACCGCATTAGCAGTGCAAACAAGCGTATTCAGAGGTGCACGTATTTTTTTCTCTCTGTGCGTGGATGCGTGCATGTGTGTACGTGTGTACGTGTGTGTACGTGCTTGTGGTTGTGTGTGCGTACTTGCATGCATGAGTGCATGAGCACGTGCGCTCCTGCGTGCATCCACCGGTGGCTGTGCTTTTCAATCCTTGTTTTTTTTTTTTTAATGTTTATTTGAATTCGGATAGCTCAACAGTACAGAAGTACAACTACAAAGAGTACCGAATAGAAGGCCCCGAGAACGGGAAACCAAAAACAAAAAAAAACAAAAACATCAAGTTACTGATTATGCACATTGCTTGAAAGCAAATCACAACAATGATTAAGAGTT